TTTACCCTTAGCACAAGCTTCACATAAAAATTATTTCTTACTATTAACTCTAAGAATTATTGAAACCAAGTCTAAGCTCACTAATTTACAAAGGGTTCCCACACTAACGTGTCCTAGCCTTTTGTGCCATTCAATTTGATCGTTTTTATCAAGGGACATCAGGCAAGTTTCATTAAAGGCTTTCTTATCATTTAAGTCAATACAAAACAGTTTCCCTTTCCCTTTTCTTGTAAACATAACATTTTTACTGACCATATTTACAACCACGCACCTATTTGGTTAAAAAATGACTATGTTTGTGGTTCAACACATTTGACTTATTGAGATTACATTGTATTTTAGATCTTCAACTAACATGACATTACTAATTATGGGTTGGTTCCAACTTGACCTTTTTCAAGAATATTTGTACTAAAGTTATCACCAAAATAAACTTTACCTCGTTTGCTTTTGACCAAGTTGGTGAATAGCTTTTCATTTTCAGTAATGTGATGTGAGCACCCACTATCCAAGATCCATTCTCTTCCTTCTATGCTCACTTGAAGATAGACCTAAACAAGAGCATAGTTTATTTGATATAGAGACCTATATGACTAACCAGTTGTTATAGAATCATACATTTCAAAATATGTCGATTTGTCTTTCCTTCCTTCCCTAACATATATTCTTCTACAATTATCGATATAGTGTCCTTCCTTACGACAATATAAGCATCCAATCTTATTCCTTATTTTTTTAAAACTTTCTTAGCTTTTGTGACACATGATTGCATGAGTTGTTTGTTTACTTTTGCTAGTTCATGATTTAGTGTGTTATTTTTTGCCTTAACATGATCATATTGTACTTCCAAAGCCTTATATTCCTCTATTACTTTTGTATGTTGTATTTTTAGCTCTTTACACTCAGCTTTAAGTTTTGTATGTTTTACCATTTTCAAACTCAAGTTGAATTTCTCTAATGGTTTCTATCATCTGTTCATCCTCACTAAAACAACCAAAATAGTAGTAGAGTATCTCCAATTCCCATGCAAGCTTCATACTTGCTGCAAGTTTCTCGATCTTCTTCTGAATCCTCACTGCAGCTCCATGTAGCTACATATGCTCTTTCTCTTCTTAGCTGAGGACACTCTGCTTTGATATGCCCAGTTTTACCACAATTAAAGCATCCAGCTTGAGCTAGTGATTTCTCGTTTCAAGCTCCATCCCTTCTAAACTTTGTTCCCAGTCGACTTTGCTTGTTAAAATCTCTTTCTTCTCCTTCCCTTGTCTTGTTATTCATGATCCCTTTCTTTCTTTCCGTTAGCATTCTAAGGAGCTCAGTTAGATGTTTGCTCAACATAGCCAATTCTCATCATCTATGTCTTCAAGGCTGTCAATTTCTTCTTCCTGTAAGAGAGCCTTGAAGGCAATGCTCTTCTTCTCCTTTTTGGGTTCCTCCATTTATTCTTTTTTTAATTTAGCCTCGTGAGTAACCCAAGATCACATTAGCTCGTCTAGACTCAACCTCGTTAGATCTTTGGATTACTCGATTGCAAAGACTTTCGGAGTCCACTGCTTAGGAAGTGCCCACAATACTTCGCGAACCAAATCAACACTTGCATACTCAACTTCTAGATTTCTCAAACTGTTGACTATGGTAATGAATCTATCATTCATCTCTTTTATGGACACTTGGCTTCATAACAAATGACTCAAACTCTTGCTTCAACCTATTTATTCTGGAAATCTTAACATGTGATGTATACATTCATGTGCGACTTGGATTTTGTCCCAAATCTCCTTGGCCATCTTACATCCAGTAATCTGATGATACTCCTCCAGGCCCAGTGCATAGTACAACAAGTTTGTTCCTTCGAATTCAATTTGAAATTCTTCTTGTCCTGCTCAGTCCACTTCCCTCTGGCTTCCTTTACTTTGAGTTGACCGTCAAGAACTATGTTCCACAGATATGGATATGTGGAGCCCATGAAGAGCTCCATTCTGTTCCTCCAATTACCATAATGCACTCCCTCAAATCTAGGTGGACGAGTATGTGAGAACCCGTTAGCCATGAAAATTCCATTTCCATTTGTCAAGCTCGAATTCACTCTCGCCGGAGGTTGTTAAGACTATGTTTGATCCGCGACCGGGCTCTGATACCACGTGTTGGTTGAATCGAGTGCGAGATTCTTCTAGCATTTCCAGCAAAAACTAATCTTTCTATTTTTTATCCTGCAACTAGGGTTAGTGAAATTTCCCCAGGACACTAACTGAAGCAAAACAATAAGCAGGGAAGAATGATTTTGATCGACAATGAATTTAGGGCAAACTTAATTAGATGTTTTTTCATTTCAATTAATCTAATGGGCTTAAGTAACACCAGGCCCAAATCAATTCATTAGTTAACAAGCAAAAGAGAAAATATGTTTGATGAATATTTCGGAGGCCCAAAATCAAAGCTAAACTAAAACTCAACACTTCAAATTGAAACGATGAGTTTTAAAGTGAAGACTTCGTCATCTTCCTTGAATTTGCTATGTGCCCAGATCCCTGCACACAAAAAACAGAGTAACACAATCGCAATAAATAGAGACTCAAAAGCAGAGAGAACAACACAATATTTTTACTTGGTTTCATGCAATGTGCAATAGCGACTAGTCCATGGTCGAAAGATCAAGGTGTTGTGATTTCTGACAATTCACTATGTGTCTTCCGTTGAAGTTTGATGGTTACAAGATTCACACCCATGTTCAATTTGCTCCTTGCAAACTAAACTCTATTCTTTCTAGCTTACCATTGACTACTCAGATACTAGAACCCCTGATATTACAAAATATCAGAACCCAGAAATCTCCACGACTTCTGACTGACTTTTCACTCAAAATCCCTAGCAAATCCCCTTTGCTCTCTTAATTTTTCTCTTGCTGAAAAGTTAGTTCGCTCATACACAACCTATACTCATATTGAATAACTTATGCTACTCTTGATACCATCCTTGTTCGTCCACATTTTGATTATTGCGTAATTTGATCTTCTTTCCATCTTTGTTCCTTTGGTTTATTTCAACAGCTACTTTCTTATTAGGCTGCATCTGTGGAGCCGTTGGCTGGCTCCTTCCAACAATCCCTAGTCAACGTCAATGTTATTTGGATTGCGTAAATGACATGCCTTATTACAGGGGTGGACCCACGCATGTTTGGGGTGTCACGGGACACCTCTAAATTTTGGAAAAACGTTTATCCATCTCTGGTGGTAAATTACGTATAGACAAAAAAAATTATAATTGATAGTCGGGGATACCCCTGAAATTTGAAAAAATGATTATCCTACTCTCATCTTCTAGTTTGGGTATGGGAAATTGGGAATATAAGTGGTAGCTTTGATAATTCAAACCTATGACACTATTATTATTTAATAAACATAATTTCCATTAACCTACAAGCCTACAACTCATTTGTTGTTCGATTTTAAACACTGTGTAATGGTAAAATGTCATTCACTATCTCTAATTATTTTCAAAACCTAACAATTAAACAAATTTCAAGCTACCCTTAATTTGTATTGATTTTATGATTGTACGACAAGTGTTGAAAGAGTCTTTTAAACTTTGGATTACATAAAAAAACAAGTTTCGAAATCGAATATGTGATTAGTTCGTGAATGATTGTCTAGTAGGATACACAAAGACAATTTTTTTGAGTAGTGTAGGCATCAAGTGTATTCTACAATTATTTCCGAATATGAAAACACATAGTGGACTTTTTTTTAAAGTTATACGAGTCATATATTTTCTTAATTAAGAATTATTTATTAACTATTTAAGAATTAATTTATTTTATTTTATTTTTTAAAAGAGGACACCCCTATATAAAAGTACAGGGTCCGCCACTGCCTTATTATATTGGCCAGATATCCAACCATATGAGCACACTCCGACTAACTGTAAATGGGAAAAGGGATGCATACTAATCCTACAATGGAAGATACATGCATCCTCCCACATCCTCCCACTAGAATTTCTCCAGCACCAATCAGGAAAATCAAAATGTATGAGAGGAGAGAGATCAAGGGACTCCATGAAGTACATTGTGTTTTTTTATTTTGGGGGAATTTCGTGAGTCTTTTAGCCGATTTGGTTTGAAGTAACTATGGTTTTGATTGAGATCAAAATGTTATGGTTTTGGATTTGAGATTTGTGGGAACTATTATGAGGTGTATTTATTGTATTTTGGTGTTAATGATGAAGCTTTTGAGAAGATTTGATTTCTTGAGACTGATTGTGGATTGAACTTTTAAATTGTATGGTGGTTTTTTTAGGTTTCGGTGGTTAATGTTACTAAGGAAGATGATTTGTTGGAAGCTGAGCTTGCTAGAAGCTTCAATCTCCGGCAGGCGGCAACCTTAAAAACAAAATCAGAGAAAAAAAGGAGGAGGTATGTGAGTGGAGGAAAATTAAAGTAATTGTTTATTTTATGACGTGTAATAGATAAATAAATTTAAATTATGACGTGTCACTTTCAGCATATTTAATGATGAAGCTTTGGAGAAGATTTGATTTCTTGAGACTATGATTGTGGATTGAACTTTTGAATTGTATGGCTATTATTCATGTGCTAGGTATTGAAATTTGAGCTCCGAGAACTTCGGAGGTTTTTCCCAATCGCGAAAAGCAAGTGTGCTAGGGTTTCTGGGTCCTGCATGACGGCGGCGAAGAGGCCGACGTCGCCGGCTGCGGCGGGTAAGCCCCCGGATGTCTCGAGTGGACAAAGACGTCCTGCTGAAGCTTCTTCTACTCCGGACGGTAAGAGCGCCAGAGAGACAGTCCAACCAAAGAAGAAGGTTCGGGCGCTCAACTTTGAGGGAGAGACAGTGGAAGTCGAGGACATAACGGCGGAGGAGATGGATACAGAACAGGACGGGAAAGCTGCAAGATCGCCATGGCAGGCGAGGAAGGGGATGACCTTTAGTGATATACTGCAGCAAGATCATTGGTATGTAGCTGATTCGGACTCTGAGGATGTGATGGCAAGGGAGAAGGAAGAAGATGATGAGATTGACGAGGAGAAAGAGGATCCAAAGTGCCCGACAATTCTGTTTACCGCGGCGGAAAAGTCTAAGTGGCGCCGAGAATGGCGTTCGGCACTGGTAGTAAAGGGATTAGGTAGAAGAGTCTCCTACATGCCATTGGCTCGCCGACTGAATGCAATATGGGCTAGGCATGGAGAGTTACAGATCTCTGATATGCGGAACGGATGTTTTTTAGTACGGTTTCGTAGCCAGAAGGACTATGAATGGGCGACGATGGGTGGACCTTGGCTACTGGGAGATACCTATTTGACGGTTCATAGATGGTTTAAGGGTTTCAACCCGTGGAAAACGGTGGTGACATCAACAATGGTGTGGGCTCAATTACCTGAGTTGCCAATTGAGTTCATCAACAAGGAAGCCGTGATGAAGATCGGTGAATGGCTGGGCAGACCGGTACGTGTGGATAGAGCGACTGAATTAGGGGCCCGGGGAAAGTATGCGAGAGTATGTGTTGAAGTTGACCTGACGCAGCCGCTACTATCACAGTTCAAGATTGAGGGGGTCACATACCTGGTACAATATGAGGGTTTGGATGACCTTTGCACCTGCTGTGGGACGTACGGGAAGAGGGCTGGTACATGTCATTGTGCAAAGCTTAATAATGTGATGGATGTGGAGGGTAACGGGGAGGTGGAACCGGAGGTAAAGGAGGATCCCACGCATGGACAAACGTATGGTGACTGGATGATTGTCAAACGGCGGGGGAGAGGTTTTGATCGGAGTAAGGAGGAGGGAAGGGGGAAACGGAAGGACGAGTCAGGCTCTAATAGATTTCAGCAGTTGGTAACAGAGTCATCCCAAATGATGAGTGGGGAAGGGGAGAAGGAGGCCGATAAGGGGGACAAAGGAAGGGGAGAAGAGAATGTAGAGAGAGAAGTTAATGAGGTACGTGACCAGCCCCATGCAGAGCCGCATGCAATACAAACCCCGGTGGGATCTCAGGATTCTCCAAATGGAGTACCGCCGAATAAGCAAGTGATGGCCGCAAAAGAGGGAGCTGGAGGTCGAAAGGGTAATGAGGTGAGAAGGGGGCAGGGTGCTCAGACCCAAAATGGGAGCGTGGGTAAGGCAAAAGGGAAGAGTGATGATGGGAAGAAGTTGGAACAGAAGAAGGGGGAAAGTAAAAATGGCCCAGGAGGTCGGAAAGAATTGAGTGGGGAAACTCCACAAAAAGCTGATGGTGCGGGGAACCGATCCCCTTCGGTTGTTAAATGAGACTACTGTGTTATAACTGCCGTGGTTTGGGAAATACACGAGCAGTTAGAGCCTTGAAGTCGCTTATGCGACGAATTTCCCCCCATTTGGTCTTCCTGACTGAGACCAAACAGCTTAGTGGTGAGAATGAGGCGCTACGAAAAGAATTGGGTTTTGATAATGGGGATAGTTGGCCGTGTGATGTCTCGAGAGGGGGCCGAGCAGGGGGCCTTTCGGTGTGGTGGACGGAGGAGGTAAAAGCTACGATTATGGATGGGTCAGCAAATTTTATGGACGTGAGGATTGAGGACGCCCAAGCGGGCACTTGGCGTTTTTCTGGGATATATGGGTGGCCTGAAGGGAATGAGAAGCATAAAACTTTAGACTTGGTACGAGAGCTAGCGGGAAGGTGGCAGGGGCCGTGGATTTGTGGTGGGGACCTTAATCTGATCCTCGCTGATCATGAGAAGAGAGGTCGGAATTTGGGTAATGAACATGAAATGAATGCCTTTGCTGACTGCCTAATGGAGTCGGGTCTGCAAGATTTGGGCTTCCATGGCCCACCATTTACGTGGGAAAATAGGCGGCAAAGGGGAGGTTATGTGGAGGAACGATTGGATCGCTTCCTAGCAAATGAGGATTGGAGGTCCATGTGGCCAGCAGGACGTGTTACACACCTGGAGTATGCCCGATCGGATCACAGACCCATCATTTGTGATTCGAGAGGGGAAGAGGATGAGGATATTAAGTGGGGGTGGTCGTTCCGGTTCGAGCCGTTATGGACAAAACATGCAGATTGTGCGGATAAGATACGAGAAGCGTGGTCTATGACGGGAGGGGATGCTACCTCAAAAATTGTGCAGGTTCAGGCGCAGCTGGATCAATGGAGTAGGGCCGTTTTCCCTAACTTTCGGAGGCAAAAAGATCGGATACGACGAGCGTTGAAAGCACTAGAAAGAAGGGAGCAGACGGATGTAGTTCTTCAACAACGGAATAAGCTGCAGGTGGAACTGGATGAAGTGGAGTGTGATGAAGAACTTTTCTGGCAGCAGCGATCGCGGGCGGACTGGTTGAGAGAAGGAGACAAGAACACTTCTTTCTTCCACCGCAAGGCTTCTCTTCGACGAAAGAGGAACACAATCCGGAAGATTAAGGATGGTGCAGGACAGTGGTGGTGCGGAAATGAGGAAGTGGCGACTTGCTTTACTAACTATTTTGTTGAGTTGTTTACTGCAGGTGAGAGGCCGCTACTAACACCAGTGCTGAACTCGATCGGAAGGTGTGTCACTGAGGAGATGAACGAGTGCCTGGTGAAGCCGTTTTCGCGAGAGGAGTTCTATGGAGCCCTCAGCCAAATGGGAAAAAGGAAGGCGCCAGGGGCAGATGGCATGTCGGTGCTTTTCTTTTTGAAGTACTGGGATATTGTCGGGGATGATGTTACGGATATGCTACTAGAGGTGATGGAGACTGAGTCTTTACCGGTTGGGCTTAATCATACCTTGATTGCTCTCATCCCGAAGGTGAAAGACCCGACAATGGCAAAGGAATTCAGACCCATCAGTTTATGTAATGTCATGTATAAGATATTATCGAAGGCAATGGCGAACAGATTGAAGTTGTTTCTGGATGGTATTATCTCGCCGGAGCAGAGTGCCTTTGTCCCGGGTCGGTTTATAGCTGATAATATCATGACGGCATTTGAATGCTTCCATACTATGAAGAAAAAAACAAAGAATAAGACGGGTTATTTGGCAGCAAAGACAGACATGACCAAAGCATATGATAGGGTCGAGTGGTGGTTTCTCGAAGGTGTGATGCAGCGGATGGGATTTGCGGAGAGGTGGACTCGGCTAATCATGATGTGCGTTAGGTCTGTGACATACGCGGTCCTGGTCAACGGCCACCGATCGGATACTTTCACACCGAGTCGAGGGTTACGGCAAGGCGACCCACTATCCCCCTACCTTTTCTTGCTGGTGGCGGAGGGACTTTCCCGGTATACCTCTTTGGCAGTTAGCCAGAAGAAGATCCATGGGTTGTCAGTAGCCCGCGGAGCACCAGTCATATCGCACCTTTTCTTTGCGGATGACTCGATCTTTTTTGCTCGGGCAAACGCACAGGAGAGTAGAGAGCTGCGGCGGGTGCTGAGTGATTATGAGAAGGAATCGGGCCAATTGGTGAGTTTTGAGAAGTCCGAAGTCACCTTTGGTAAAAATGTTAAACCCCACCAGCGGCTGATTGTGAGCTCCATGCTGGGAATGAAGGCCGTTGATAAACATGATAAGTATTTGGGTCTAGTTACTCATGTTGGTAGATCGAAGAAGGAGCTGTTTGTGTATCTGAAGGATCGGGTGCGTAAAAAGCTTGCAGGTTGGAAGGAAAAGACTATGTCTGCCGCTGCTAGAGAAGTATTGATCAAGTCGGTTGCTCAGGCACAGTTGACATATACGATGTCTGTGTTTAAGGTTCCGGATGGCATCATAGATGAGATCCATGGTTTAATCACAAGATTTTGGTGGGGGCAAAGGGGGCAGGAGCGAAAGACCCCATGGATTGCCCGAGAAGCTTTGATTTGTTCGAAAGCTCAAGGGGGAATGGGCTTTAGGGATCTCCGTGGATTCAACCAAGCTCTCCTTGCTCGTCAATTATGGAACCTCCTTCAGCGGCCGAATTCCCTTGTGGCCCGCCTGCTCAAAGCAAAATATCATAAGAACGTTTCCATCCTGGATGCGAGGGTAGGTCACTGTCCGAGCTATGTCTGGAGGAGCCTGATGAGTGCTCAGGAATTTTTACTGGACGGACTGAGGTGGAGAATAGGGAATGGATCCTCAGTGCGGATATGGGGAGATCGTTGGCTGCCGACTACGCCAGGATATGTTGTTCAGTCACCTCCTATGGGACTCCCGGTGGATGCAGTCGTTCGAGAACTTGTGGATGAAGAGGAGGAGCGGTGGGACGATACAGTGTTGGAGAGCTGCTTCCCGGAGGAGATGGTAAAGGCCATCCGTCAAATTCCCCTTCGGGACCCGCAGGAGCCAGACCGACTCATTTGGGCAAGCAGTAGGGACGGAAATTACTCGGCCAGGGAGGGATATAAACACTGGTTAGCGAGGCACCAAGAAGAGAAGGGAGATCGAAGTGTAGGTGAACCAGCCCTGTGGAACCGGATTTGGTCTTTGAACCTCCCTCCCAAAATCAAGGTGTTCATGTGGAAATACACAAGAGGGGCACTCGCTACGGGAGATCGGGTAAGCTTACGAAATCCGATGCGAGGGGATGCTTGCCCTTTTTGTAACCTTAGGGAGGACCAGGAACATTTGTTCAGTCAGTGTGCGTGGATGAGCAGGCTATGGAGAGCTTCAAGTGTGGTTCACTGTTTCGAGATGAGAGGGGATCTGAACTGTATGGAGTGGGTTCGCAAAGTGGCCGAGAGTGCTACTGAGAAGGATTTCGACAGCTGGGTGGTTCTGCTCTGGTTTCTCTGGAAAGAACGGAATGCCCACCTCTTTAACGGTGTGAAGATGGAGGAGGGAGATATAGTTCCAAGATCGTTGGCCTATTTGGAAGAGTACCAATCATACCAGGGAAGGGAGGAAGCTCAGGCTGCAGTGGCGATGGACCACCAGTGGCGACGTCCAGGGGAGGGGGTGATTAAAATCAACACGGACGCAGGAGTGGACAATGATGGAATTGGGCTGGGGATGGTGGCTCGGGATCATACAGGCAAATTTATCATGGCAGCAGCGAAGAGAGTGAGAGGCGCCCAAGACCCGATGATGGGGGAGGCGCTAGCTATGGAGTTTGGCGTTCAGCTCGCTCGACAACATCAGTTAGGATCCTTTATCATTGAGTCGGACTGTCTTGTTGTGGTTAACCAGGTGAAATCGGCATCGATGATTCAGACGGAACTTGGAGTAGTGTGTCGACATATTCAGCGCCTCCTGGATGAGACTGGGGGGGGACAGATACGGTATGCGAGTAGAAGAGCAAATGAGGCGGCACATATCATGGCGCACACGAGGACTCGATGGAATGAAGCGGCAGTTTGGTTTGATAGGCCTCCGTTAAATCTGCTAGATCAGCTTAACATTGACGATGTATCCTCTGTTGTTCATCAATAAAAGCTGAGTGCAGGTTTCTATCAAAAAAAAACTTTTGAATTGTATGGTGGTTTTTTAGGTTTCGGTGGTTAATGTTAGGCAAAATACACTCGTATAGCCACAACTTTCCACTTTGTGCCAACAATAGCCAAATTTTGAAAAATACAGAGAAATAGCCAATCCGTCTAATACTTTAACGGATGAACTTGAACTGCGGACTAGGCTAACGGTTCGCGCTGATGTGGCACGTCTCCAACGCTATTGTTGCCAGATGGAATTGATGATTTTTTATTTTTTTTATTTAAAAAATATAAAAACGAAAAAGGCCCCTCCGTTTTCGCCCAGCCCCTTTTCGTCGATCTCTAACCCTACCAATTTCACTTTCCACCCGACGAAACCCTTTCCGTTCTTTCCGATCGACGGCCCACTGCCGTTGACAGAGACGATTTGGTGCGGCCTCCGCCGACTGCTGCCTGTCGCGACTCGTTTATTGGGCGTCCTTTCCACTTCCTCTCATCTGGGCGTCTTTGCTCCCAAATCCAACATGCATCCCGACGGCGGATAAAACCAACGCCGCCGACCCGACTTCTCTTCGCTGATGCCGCTGCAAGTCCTCCCTCCGCACACACAGACACAGCTCTGTCGTCAACGAGAAGTCCAGATCTGGAGATAGGCTCAGCCATCACCGTCGCCGTTGAATCCCGACCATGGGGAGAACGACCCCACTTCACTGACGCCGCTGCTGCCGCTGCAAGTCATCGCTCAGTCACCACTCCGCCTTCTCTGTAGATGGGTGGCAAATCTGGAGATGCGCGCTGATGAGAGCTAAGATACAACGCCCAGTCTGAGCGATGTAGGGTACTTCTCTACTCGCCGGTGAGCGAGGATTAGAGGGAGGAGGAGGAAGCGACAATTGATTTC